CACACTGCAACTCGATGGAGTGTTGGCACCGCGGTAGCAGAGGCAAGCAGAAAAAGCAGCGGACAGGGACAAGCAGCAGTGTCATCACCGGGATTCGGAGGCGAGGTCTGCTTGCCGTCCGTCTCGCTGCTTCAGTCCCTGCCGCCGAGAGAAGCTTCTCGCGTTATGCCAAGGCATCCTGGATGAACCCATTTCTCCTCTGGTAATGGATTCGACTGAAAAGCAGCCGAGTCGACATCCTTCCGTGGGTGCCGCGGCCGGTCTCACCGCTCTCTGCAACAGCGACGGATGCCGTTAGCAAAAGTTCTTCAGTAAACGCCGGTAGGACCGCCCTGCACCATTCCCACTCTCCCCGCCGTCCCACGGAAACTAGTCCACCGGCGGCAGCGGTGACAGATATCGTGCACACCTCCGCTTAGCCACGGCAAATGGCGTTTCCCTCATCGTAGGGTGGAGTGGCCCACGTAATCGTCGCTCCGTCCGTGCATGGGACCCAACGGACACCGCCCTTTTCAGTCGCTTCCGGATACACCTGCATGCCGAGGCACCTCAATGCCGCATGCATGACAGCACTCAGATATGTCTCCTCCGGGTCCCTCGCATCTGTCGTGTTCGCGGGAAGCGTGTCCGGACACCACGAAGAGGGCTTATCCCCAGGCCTTGCAGACAAATATTCTCCCTCCAAATAACAGCGTCAATATCCCTCGCATCCAGTGCGGGATCAATGATGGGGCAACTGTCCATTGGGCGTTTTGCTGAAATTTCATGGATACTACACACCAACCACTGGAATACCGATCCGACGCGCAGCATTTGAGGGGAACGCCCGATTCGCAGAACCTGTAGGGATATTTACCCATGTTCAGTGCGGGGTACCTCCTCTGCAGCAGCTCACAGCCCGAATTCCTGCTCCAGCGCATCGGCTCCGCCATCTCCCACTTCACCCTCATGCAACCCAGGGCCGCCGATGCGGCCAGCGTCAGCTCCGTGCAGTCGCCGGCACCTCCAATCAAAAACATCCACCCATCCTTCGCGTGGCGCTGCGACCAGTACGACTCCAGCGTCCTCCCGTCCCCATCGTCTTCCTGCAGCTCCATGCCAACAATGTCGTCGCAGTCGTGGCGCTCCCTCGCTGCCATCGTGGCATTCGCCGAGTCTACCACCACCAAGAGCGCCCTGCCACGCACACAGACAACATTCCCCAACATGCTGCGGCTGGCCATGTGCAGGCAGTTGAACCCGAGAACATGGGTCATCAGGTGCGCGGCGATGCGGGTAGCGAGCGGCCGTGAAATAAAACTGCGGGGAAAAGTGCATGGCGCCAGCGACTGGACGGCCATCCTCCAGCACGGCCCACAGCAGTGACCACACACCACCCAGCGCCGCAGCCATGCACAGCACCATTTCAGAATTGGCAACACCAGTGGAACGATGCCCAGCAGGCACAATCAACCGACTGCAAACGCTGCCCGTGGCAAATGGGGGCACAAACAGCGGACCCTCCAGTGGCTGAAAAAACGAACGATCCGCATGCAGTTGGACAGCAGCAGGGATAGCCTTCTCGGCAAGGATGTTGCCGTGCACAGTGAAAGGAACACCACCCTTACAACCTCAATTTTCACCCAACGAACGCATCGCATAAGGCCGCTGTGAAAGGCAATAATTTCTGGTATCATTCAATCCCCTTGTGGGCACATTGATGCGAATGGGTGCCCAGCGGTCCTCCCAAACGACGCTGTACACCTGCAACGCATCCTGTGCTCTGAGAGGCACGTCTCCCACCACACCCGGGGACGCCCACACGCCGTCGGCACGCAGCACATCGTCAAGGAAACAGTGATACGTCAAGGTGAGAGCAATACACCCGCTAGCAATTCACATCGCAGGCATCATCACGAGCAGCAATGGCAGCGCTGCAGGCCGCGGGGCGACGTGGATCCACCGACGCATGGCGTATGTGGAAGAAAAAACGTAACGGCCTGACGAGGATGCAAGAGGCTGACACCCCTACAAAAAGAAAGAAACGGTATGAGAACACAAAGAGGGGATTTAAACGCCCGCAGTCAAAGCAAGCCACTGATAAAAGGGGTGGAATAAGTGCAATAAACCAAAACACGAGCAGAGACACAAAGAATAAAAAACACAAAAAAAGACAAGAAGCCGAAGCGTGGGACGACCAGCGCACACACTCTCATTGCTCCCGTAAAGCAAAACACACACACAGGGAGAGATACAGAGAAGGTCGCCCACTCAATGCAATAAAAACAAAAAAACAGTTACGGTGCTCCGCCCATGCAGCCAGGCAGGACGGCAGCGGTGCGTGTCGTGCAAAAGAGAGCACCAACGGGCCTGCATGGGTGTGCATGCATATATACAATGGGCACATTATGTGTGTGCTTCGTGGGATGAGGTGAGGGCGAGAGTCCATGCAAGGGGACACACACAGAGAGTGAGTGAAGGACAAGTGTGTGTGTGCGGGCGGTGCACGGCTCTCTCTCACTCACTCTCATGCGGCCACCACCGCCGCCGCAGCCGCACACACAACAACAAGAAGAAGAAGCAAAAGAGGGGAGGTGGTGTGAGAGGCCGCGGGGCTGCCTTCACTGTCGCCAGGCGTTTGAGTGCCTTCGGTGTTCGTCTTATTCGGTGCTCCTTCCGGACCTGAAGTTGAATTTCTTTTCTCTTGACCGCCAGCCGGCATCCCCTCCAAGGCGTCGTCATCAACCCTTTCTTCATCCTCTTCACCTTCTTCTTTCTTGGTGTTTTTCTCACTTTCTTCTTCTTCTTTATCCTCTTCCCTTTCCTCTGCCTTCTCTCCCTCTTCTGCATCCTCTTCTTCATGTTCACTTTCCCCATCATTTTCCTCCTCTTCTTCTTCTTCCTTCCTCCTTTCACCATTGTGTTGTCCTTGATCCGAAGTTTCGTTTGAAGGCGGCACAATATCAGTTTCAGAATGCGGTAACTTCTTTTGACTTTCTGTTGTTGCTTGTCCTGAATTCACCAATAATTCATTGTTTTGTCTGGGCAGTGAAACCTCATTGTTCCTTGTCTTGTCAACTTCCACCGTGTTGGGATTCTCTTTTCCACCACCTTCAGCTGGAGCAGCAGGAGAAACAGGAGCAGCAGCAGCAACGGCGGAAAGTTGACGCCTCCAACGGCTGCGGCCATCCACAACAGCATGCAAACTCTCCATCACCCGACGCACGCATTCCTCGACGGCGGACGCATTCGCACGGCCTCCTGTCATCCTGCCAACCTCCTCCGCGCATTCCGTCCGCAGCCGCGTACGCCGCTGCAACAGCAAATACTCACCCGCACTGCCATCGCCACCGACAGATACATCGGCTGCCGACACCGCCACCGCCGGCACCGCACCACTGCACGCAGAGGGCACACACCAGCAGCACACGGCCAGTCATCATCATCGCCATCACTCCTGTCACTTGCGTGTAGCCTTCAGCACAAAATAACTCCCCATCAACGCAGTTTGAAAGCAAAAGTAGAGACAAGTCACACAGCCACGCACCGTCCCATCCAGCAATGAGAGTCACGCACCACAACAACAATTAGGTGGGCACGGTTCAACAAAAACCAAAATAAAAGAGGAGCGCTCCTCGCCGTGCACCGTTCCTCACACTCCCACAGGCACTGTTACTGTTATTCCCTCTCCTCAGGCCCTCACAGGCACGCCACGCTCACTTCAACACGCGCCCCTCCAGCACACGCACTTCGTCATGCACTCCCGTTGCGCCGCAACGTCCGCCACCTCCTCCCAGTCCAACAGCTCCGTGTACTCCACATCCCTCACAATCGCCAGCATGCCCCGGCCGTGCAACTCACACAGCGCCACAAAGTCGTGCCGCCTCTCCTCCACAATCATGAGCGCAACGCCCAACGTGTACTGGCGCACGTGCTCCATGCGCTGCAACCACACGCGGATCAGGTTGGCCGTCATGCACTGCATCTTGTTGTCCTAATTGTGCATGTAGCAGACCCTCACATCCTCTCAATCCACGGCCTGGGTGCTGCGAGAGGTTGCCGAGTGGTGCCACGTGTGCGGAAGAAACAAATGTGCGGAAACAACGGCCACCCTCACTCCCTCACACATCTCCGCTCCCTCCGCTCACCCACACACAGAAAAGGGAGGTGTCATGGGGAAGAGAAGCCCGCCGCACAGCGCATGCACGAAGGCGCACGCAAAAGCAACGCCATCCACACCGCACCGCAAGATGGAGCCATGCGCACAGCACACACATGGCGGCAACGAGAGAAACGGGACGGATACAACTCCACAGCGCTGTCATTTACTTCTCTCTTCCCCGACGGATTGGCACCCACACTCACAAATGGAGCACGGCGCACACCATCCGCTCTCCTCCAAGTGCACTCAGCAGGCCGGCGCCCAGTCGCCCTCGTGCCATCGCAATGGGGACCACAAACAATCGGCGTCGCGGGCCATCGGTGCCTCTAGCAGGAAAGAAAGCAGAAGAAATGGAAGCGCCTCAACAGCACAGCCAGCAGAGGGACACTCAACGGGACAATAATACACAAAGTGACGATCGACACGGCACAAAAAAAAAAACAAGCCGCAGGAAATTACAAAAGAAAAAGAAAAGAAAAAGTGAGAGTCCGGCATGACTCCCAGAAAAAAAAAATGAAATAAAAAGAGTTGGCACTGTTCCACTAGCCCACACAACATTCTTCACACTTCATTGCGGCATCCGGCCTTTTCTTCCAATCCTCCCTTCATGCAGTCCGTGGGACGCACAGCCGCAGGGCCGGCACCGCGTGTGGGCAAAAGAAAAAAAAACAATAGGGAAAACACTTCGCTCATTACAGTTTGCAGCAAACAAACATTACGTAAAAAAAAAAAAAAAAAAGAAAAAAAAAAAAACAATTACTGAGTACTACAGCAGAATAATGAAGAAAGGGAAAAAAAGAACACGTGAGCAATGCGGCATGTATTCACCGTGAGGAGTCGCAATTCCACACTCTGCGGCTCAGAAGAATGCCACAAATGCACACAGTCCCACAAGAAGCAGCAACAAACGAGACACGCACAAGCGCGCAGTGCTGTCAACAGTTAGCTCATGCAGTATCAATTTCGCGTCAGTGGTCAGGGCGAGGCGGTCCTCTGGACCCATACTGCCACCGGATTCTGAGTGAGTGGTTTCTGGAACGGAAGTGTCATTTTTGGCGGCAGTGCGTGGACTCAATCCGTCCGTAGCATTCTCAGCCCTCGATTCACTGCCCGCAAGAACACGGACAGACTGAGAGTCTGCCGGCTGAGCAATTGGAGACTCTTCAACGTCCGCCAGGGAAGTCGTCAGCTGTGTGGCCGTCTGCAGTGTAGCAGCCGGCTGTGTGTCTTCCTGCGTTGTGGCCTCCCGCGTTGCAGCTCCCAGCTGTGCAACGTCCAGCTGTCTGACCTCCTGCTTTTCTTCCTCCGTCGCTGTGACTTTCACTGCAGTGTCCAGTTCTTCGGCAGCCGGATGTCGAATAGGAACTGTCCCGGCGTTGAGGTTTCTGAGTTCATCGTCAAACAGTGCGCGGTTGTACAGAAGGACATCAGCCACCGTCAAATGGCTACTCTCTTTAAGTTCTTTGCTGCTCGCACCAAAGAAGAAGTGTGAGATCCTGTGTGGGCCAAAATGTTCACTACGAAGCTTATCCAGTTCCTCCTCTTCCAGTTCCTCGTAATCTGTCTCGTATATTTTGATTCCATCAACGTACACAAACCAGTCATCAGCGCTATCCTTTTGCACCGTCACTCGAATTGCCGTGTTTGGTTTCCACTCACCAACATCACCAGACGGCTTCACCAACAAATCCATCTTGTGAAGTGTGAGATTCCAATTTCCTTCACTCGTGTACGACAGCTGAAAGAGCACCGTGCTGGCCGTGTCGTTCAGCCTCGCACCAATCAAACTAATGGGGCTGCTGCCTGCCTCCGGCACCTCGTGGATGGTCACCGTTGCCGAAAGAGTGAAGTCGTTGTTTGTAAAGTAGTACGGCACAGTCTGCCCCATGTCGCCAACAGGCCACTGCGCCTCTGCTCCCTTGAGCGTCACACCGCTCTCCGTGCTGGTCACTCCGCCCGTCACTGTGGCATTCACACCGAGGTACTCGTCCTTCCATGCAGTCCCGTCCAATGTGCTGGACAAAAAGCCAACCAGCCCTTCAGTGGTAACTCCCAAGGCGTTGTCCAATTCTTTCCATGTCTTCACCGCAGACTTTATCCACTCCAGCTGCTCATTCAGGCGCATGGCGACAAGACTGTATGGCACGTCACCATTCCTCTTCTCGTACAGTAAAATCAGTTCACCCTCACTTTTCACCAGCAGAGAACTGGCGGCAGCGTCATCACCCTCACGAGATATCGGCCCAACATCATACACACGTGCATTGTCCGTCACCCAAAGATGGAGCCGACCCTCTTCTTTCCCGCTTTCTCCTTTCTCCTTTGAATACACTGGCAGGGTCACGAGCATCACCTCCTTCCCCTCAATGGTTGCGGTGGTGAATCCACTCTGGACGCCGTACCCTGTTCGATCACGTGAGTTGCCCCACACGCGGTTAATTGGCTCACCATATGAATACCAATCCACCCCATTCCCAATGGTACTGTACACGTTATAGTAGCCTCCAGCACAAGAAGCCATCATGAGGAGCTCGTCTCTTTCCCACTCCAATAAGGATGGATTCCTGCAGCCCTTACCAGTCACATAGGATGAAAGCTCCCATTTCTCCTCTGACGGGATAAGACGCATGGACAGTAAAACGCTATTACCATCCGCTTTCATGGCCTGCATGGGAAACACAAGCGCCCCGTCGTGCGCCACAACACCGGATCCTCCGCCACCAATTAACTTGGTCAAGGAATGAGATTCTCCTTTGGGTTCAGGCTTCACCAAATGGGTCTCATTCCACTGGATCTTCTTGTTCCCGCCCTCCACCGTGACGGTTCCCCTCACCAGCAAAAGGCTCCAGTCCTTCGCACCTTTATCCTGCGACGTTGTACGCCTGTATTTCCCAACCAGCATGTAGACACCGTCTCCAATTACAACTGTCGTTGGCCGCAACACTTCTGTTGTCCCAAAATTATTCTCGATGGTGTCCACAATTTGTGTGCAAAAACAACTAATATCCGACGTCGAAATATCCATTGCGCTGCCACTTACGTCCAGGTGCTTTGACACAATCCCAGCACAGCTGCCGGTTCCGTCCTTTTCCCTGCACTGTGCCTCAGCAACGGCAAATACATCATCACCCACTTTAACAAGTCCAGGAACACGGAGCGAGGTGATTTCCCTGCTGGCTTCGTCAAACTCCCTCCAATTAGCAAATGATATCGACGTCGTCCCCTTAAACGGATCAATGGTATTTCTTGGATCACTTCCCTCAGCGGCCGCAGCTCCACAGTCGCAGCAAATCATCAACAAAACAAGTACAAGCAGCAGCATCGCGGAGGTAAACACACGCCGCGACATGTTGGGCCTCTGCAGCTCACCCTCTCTTCCTTCCCTCCTCCTTCCGCTGGATCCGGTCACGCGGCGACGGTTGTGTGTGCGGGGTGCGTTCACTGCAGCAACACGTGAGAGCATGTAAATATGTGTGTGGGCGGTGTTTGTGCTGTTGTTGGTCCTTTCAGAGCCTTCGAATTTCACAGTAGCGTTTAGCGCTTGTTTTCCTTCTTCGTGTTTAAGTGAGTGAGAAGTGAAAGAACACATGCCAAAAAAAGGGTAAGACAGTGAGCATTGCCAGCATGCACAGCGAAGCAAAACATCCGTGCTGCAGTCACTCCCAACAACAACAACTCACGCACACCGACACACGGAACGGAAGAAGTAAGAACAGTGCACCGGGAACACACAGCAACTGGCACCGCAGCAGAAGCCACAGCGGGTGCTTTGTCACGCGCCGTCACACACCAGGCGACGCCCACAGAAAAAACAACCAGCGGATGCAAAAGGGCACGACCGTCCTGAGGGATGTTTACGCACTGCCGCCAGTCGTTTTGCTGTTGTCTCTCCCCGCTTCCTCCAGAATACCTGCTTCGCCGCTGGCGCACATCAATCCACACAGCCGAAGGATCCCCCCGTCGGCAATTTCACGGCGGGAGAAACACGTCGGCACGTGCAGCTGCTAAGCAAAGATCCATACGCACTCGTCCCAGGCAGCCTCAATGCGACACCACACAGTTGCCTGCACGCCGCCAACATTACGCCAGCAACACATCGGAGAGTTTCAAATCACAGCCTCCCGTCCTTCCTCCTCGCAAGGGCCGCCGCAGCCAGCAACTTGTGCGTGCGTTCATTCTCAGCGTTCACGCCGCTTCACAACGTGAGTGACATGGCGTGTGTGTGCATGTGCCTTTGTGTTTGCAAGCGCCAATGCTTGCAGAGCAGCTGTGCGCCACAAGAGAGTCCAAAGAAAGCAACGGCAAAGAGAGGTGGATAGCACACACGCAAATTACTCATACCATCACGCACACAGACGCAGCCCGCGGAATGGGTGCTCTCAACCACAAAACAATGAAAAACAAAACAAAAAGCCGAAGCGTGGGACGACCAGCGCACACACCCTCATTGCTCCCGTAAAGCAGAACACACACACACAGGAAGAGAGAGAGAGGTCGCCCACTCAATGCAATAGAAACAAAACAGAAACAGTTACGGTGCTCCGCCCATGCAGCCAGGCAGGACGGCAGCGGTGCGTGTGGTGCAAAAGAGAGCACCAACGGGCCTGCATGGGTGTGCATGCATATATACAATGGGCACATTATGTGTGTGCCTCGTGGGGTGAGGTGAGGACGAGAGTCCATGCAAGGGGACACACACACAGAGAGTGAGTGAAGGACAAGTGTGTGTGTGCGGGCGGTGCACGGCTCTCTCTCCCTCACTCTCATGCGGCCACCACCGCAGCAGCAGCAGCCGCACACGCAACAAGAAGAAGCAAAAGAGGGGAGGTGGTGTGGGAGACTGCGGTGCTGCCGTCACTGTCGCCAGGCGTTTGAGTGCCTTCGGTGTTCGTCTTATTCGGTGCTCCTTCCGGACCTGAAGTTGAATTTCTTTTCTCTTGACCGCCAGCCGGCATCCCCTCCAAGGCGTCGTCATCAACCCTTTCTTCATCCTCTTCACCTTCTTCTTTCTTGGTGTTTTTCTCACTTTCTTCTTCTTCTTTATCCTCTTCCCTTTCCTCTGCCTTCTCTCCCTCTTCTGCATCCTCTTCTTCATGTTCACTTTCCCCATCATTTTCCTCCTCTTCTTCTTCTTCCTTCCTCCTTTCACCATTGTGTTGTCCTTGATCCGAAGTTTCGTTTGAAGGCGGCACAATATCAGTTTCAGAATGCGGTAACTTCTTTTGACTTTCTGTTGTTGCTTGTCCTGAATTCACCAATAATTCATTGTTTTGTCTGGGCAGTGAAACCTCATTGTTCCTTGTCTTGTCAACTTCCACCGTGTTGGGATTCTCTTTTCCACCACCTTCAGCTGGAGCAGCAGGAGCAGCAGGAGGAGAAACAGGAGCAGGAGCAGCAACGGCGGAAAGTTGACGCTTCCAACGGCTGCGGCCATCCACAACAGCATGCAAACTCTCCATCACCCGACGCACGCATTCCTCGACGGCGGACGCATTCGCACGGCCTCCTGTCATCCTGCCAATCTCCTCCGCGCATTCCGTCCGCAGCCGCGTACGCCACTGCAACAGCAAATACTCACCCGCACTGCCATCGCCACCGACAGATACATCGGCTGCCGACACCGCCACCGCAGCACCGCACCACAGCACGCAGAGGGCACACACCAGCAGCACACGGCCAGTCATCATCATCGCCATCACTCCTGTCACTTGCGTGTAGCCTTCAGCACAAACTAACTCCCGTCAACGCAGGATGAAAAGCAAAAAAAGAGAGACAAGTCACACAACCACGCACCGTCCCACCCAGCGACGAGAGTCACGCACCACCACCACAACAACAATTAGGTGGGCGCGGCTCAACAAAAACCAAAATAAAAGAGGAGCGCTCCTCGCCCGTGCACCGTTCCTCACACTCCCACAGGCACTGTTACTGTTATTCCCTCTCCTCAGGCCCTCACAGGCACGCCACGCTCACCTCAACACGCGCCCCTCCAGCACACGCAGTCCATCAAGCGCTCCCGCTGCGCCGCAACGTCCGCCACCTCCTCCCAGTCCAACAGCTCCGTGTACTCCACGTCCCTCACAATCGCCAGCATGCCCCGGCCGTGCAACACACACAGCGCCACAAAGTCGTGCCGCTTCTCCTCTCCAATCATGAGCGCAACGCCCAACGTGTACTGGCGCACGTGCTCCATGCGCTGCAACCACACGCGGATCAGGTTGGCCGTCATGAACTGCATCTTGTTTTCCTAATTGTGCATGTAGCAGACCCTCACATCCTCTCAATCCACGGCCTGGGTGCTGCGAGAGGTTGCCGAGTGGTGCCACGTGTGCGGAAGAAACAAATGTGCGGAAACAACGGCCACCCTCACTCCCTCACACATCTCCGCTCCCTCCGCTCACCCACACACAGAAAAGGGAGGTGTCATGGGGAAGAGAAGCCCGCCGCACAGCGCATGCACGAGGACAAACACCGAAGCAACTCCATCCACGTCGCACCGCAAAATAGTGTCATGCACACAGCACACACACTGCGGCAACGAGAGGGGCGGGGCGCATCCAAGTCCACGGCGCTGTCATTTACTTCTCTCTTCCCCGACGGATTGGCACCCACACTCACAAATGGAGCACGGTGCACACCATCCGCTCTCCTCCGAGTGCACTCAGCAGGCCGGCGCCCAGTCACCTTCGTGCCATCGCAATGGGGGAACACAAACAATCGGCGTCGCGGACCATCGGTGCCTCTAGCAGGAAAGAAAGCAGAAGAAATGGAACATGTCAACAGCACAATCAGCAGGGACACACCCAACGGAACAAGAAAACACAAAATAACAGTCAAAACGGCAGAGACAAAAACATATCCGCAGGGAATTACGAAAAACAAAACAAAAAAATGAAACAAACAAACAAACAAAATGTGGGACCCCTGCAGGACTCATGAAAAAAAAAATAAATGATTCGGCAGGACTTTCATGTGCCATGCAGCTAAAGACGATTGGGTGCTTGCACATATTACCTGCACAAACGAAAAACGTAATAATAAAAAAAGATCGCATTATTCCAGCATCCCACACAACATTCTTCACATTTCATGCGGCATCCGGCCTGTTCCTCCAATCCTCCTTTCGTGCAGTCCGTGGGACGCACAGCCGCAGGGCCGGCAACGCGTGTGGTCAAAAACAAAAACAAACAAGAGGGAGAAACACTTCGCTCATTACAGTGTTCAGCAACCTAAAATTACGCAAAGAAAAAACAACAGTAGTTATTACTCCGGCTGAACTACAGTGAAAAAAGACATTTAAAAGTAAAGAAATTGAAGAAGTAGAAGTAAAAAAAAGGCGGGCAATGCGGCATTTATTCTCCGTGAGGAGTCGCAAATCCACATTCTGTGGCTCAGAAGACTGCCACCACCCAAATACAATCCCAGAAGAAGCAGCAACACACAAGACACGCACGCACGCACGGGTGTTG